CAGCCCACCAAGTTAGGTACCACCAAGAATTTAGATTCCACAGTTATAACACCTCCTAAACGAGAAAGGGTTCTTGTGCTTCAACATACCTGCACCCGTTATAATTGCACCCTTGAACGATGTGTTGCCAGTTGCAAGTGCTCCTTCCAGGTTGGCATTGCTCAAATTTGCCTGCCATTAAAAATGGTCACTTCATATCAGATTCTCCAAGCTAAGAGAATAAAAAAATCAGTTACATATCATGAATTAGAAAACTGAGAATTGATGAGTGTGCTTGAGCTAAAATATACTCTTCTTTAGTCATGAGATCCTCCCCGCGCCACTAACCACCTAACAAACTGATTTTACCAGTTCCAGACATTACATCCCTCATCCCCATATCAACTGCTAAGCTCACACCTTCATGCTGCTATTGCTTCACACCCCATATGAATGAATTTATTTGATATCCAATTTTAACTTTTTTAGTGGAATAATGGAAATATTTTAAGAGAAATCAACCAGTTCTGAAGATTCATTTTGTAGACAATAAAGTCGTCAAAGAAGCAAAGTTTGATTTGAACAATCCTTGTATTGTTCCTGGTTACAAATTGAAAAGTATAAGACTGATTGGCAATGAGAAGAGGTCACACAAGCTCATAGACTAGTGTGAAAAGTTATATTTTGCCAATGGGGGATAAATCCTCAATATCTCTTTAATATAGATATCTAATTCGTAAAAATCAATATGCACACAAGCTTTTGAAACAAGGATTATGTTGAGACGAAAGTCGATTTGTGCTATTGATTCTACTATGAAATTCTAAATTGTGATTTAGAATTTAGGTTCACTCGAGGTTTTTTGTTCAGTGACTTGCTTTGCACAATTGTTTTCCAGATTGCTTCTTGATAAGTGTAGTTTTTATACTTATTCGATGCTCTAAATCATGATATTTTATTATCTTTTTGAATAAAATTCTATCTAATTTATGTTATATTGTATTGTGTAGGTAAAACTTTATATTTAATGAAGAATTGAAGAAAAAAATGCAAAATAGTGGAAAAATTCATAGTACGAAGACTTGGAAGCAAGCATTAAATTAATTGGGCCTCAATTTGGACTTCTAATTAGATACAAAATTTGGCGACTTGAGATTAAATATATAGACAAAGAGAACATTGTGCTGAAATTTAGAAAAGAGGCCCGTTTGAACAAAAAAAAAAAAAAAA